GGAGATGGTTTTTTTTTTAAGGCTATTGCAATAGGAAGGATATTCATAATTAGGAACATCTCAAAGAAAAGGAAGGGGACCGAGAAATCCAAAGAGAGCTATAAACAAGAGAGAAACAAGAGAGTCATATCCACTGAGGAAAGGGAATGGTGGGGGTTAACTCAGAATGGATGAAAGCAAGGTGGCCATTTCTCAGAAAATAAAATGGTGTGGGTGGGTTTCAACCTTTGCTATACTTTGCAAGAACACAGGAGCTGCAGAAAATGTTCAGCATCATCAGGTGTTCTTCAATCCCCTGCTTAATCGTAATGCTTGTGGTCAACGATGGGGCCAAAAGTGATGACAGATTTCACAGTCACTGGGAAAAAATTACCAGTTTTCTTTTCAATATATTGCTACCTAATTTGTTTTAGGGAAAAAACTGGACTGTGTTTTATTATCAGGTCTTTTGAAGGATGAGCTATTACTTTTAAACCTAGGATCAATGTACAAACTTATTTGTACAAGAGTGCTTCAAAGGCTTCCTACAAAATTGTGCTACTTAGCTGATCACTTCTTGCCTTAGGCAGTCAAAAGTAGATGAAGTTATAATGTCTTTACCAACTATTTTTAAACCTAGTGTGAACTAATAAGGCTTTCTGAGATTGACATGCAAGCCTGTATCCTTTAAAAGTGGCATATACGTTCTAATAGCTCCAAGAAAACTAGCTGAACAAGGCATCTGAAGAAAGGAAGTTCTTGCATCCACACTGATTTCTTTTCTTCTTCAGAGAGCATTAATGCAGGTGTTTCAAGCATTTTGCACTTTAATAAAGAAGTGTTATTAACACCACTTATTAAATACATTTTTAGAGCTATCATACCACCCCAAAATAACTTAAAATATGTTTTGTTAATTAGATGTATCTTGAATGAGGTCATATTTAAATGGTTAATCAAGGTGAAAGGAGGCTCGCTTGGATCATGATAAACACCTTTTAAATAAATATGCAATTCAGGTAGACAGAAAAGAGAAGGCTTTGTGAAAGCAAGCTCTAATAATTTAATATGACCTGTAAAGATAATATGAATTTGATGTAGGAGAGAAAAATAAAACAAAGGAAAGGCCAAGGTGGAAGCTAAAAATGTGATTGATCCATAAAACGAACTCTTTAAAGTCCCATATATCTTGGGGCAAGATTTGGATTTGAATGTAGAGTTAATTATCTTTGATTATTTTGGATGATATCCTGGTCTAGATCGATGCAATCAGATAACTATTGCTCATTTGAACAAAAAAGGATGTGTCTTTGGGTAATCAAAACAATTAAATTACATGACGGTCACCAAGCAATCAATACAATATGCCATCTTGATGCAAATAACCCATTTCAAATTACTTTTATGATTTTATCATTTACCCCTTTTATACAGTGATTTTACTGGTGGGAAATTTCCAGTGAGTTCCACTTGATTACCATTTATCACATTGTTGAACCATAGTTTTATGTGAAACTACTGGAACTTGGAGGTACCAGCAGAAAATGGCTGTATTTTGCATCAGTCATTATTAAGCACGCTTTATTGGTGATTCCTTCTCTGCCCGTTGCTGACTTCTCAGGTGAATTCCATTGCCTCTTGGATACTTTGAATTGTCAATCAATCCAGTCAGTCAGTCAACAAGCATACAATACACACACCAAACATTCACTTTGATAACAGCGACACTAACTTTAGCTGATTAGTGATACTAATCAGCATAGACTGATTCAGGTCTGTTTTCCCTCCTGCCAGCTCAGGCCTGCACCCTGAATTGAGGAAACTGTCCAAGGAATAATATAGAATCTGCTCTTTCATACCTCCCTGCCTCCCACCCTCCTCCCATTCCACCAGGTTCAGGGGCCAGGAATGGATGGGGAGGAACCGGGAAAGAACTGACAAGTTTACTGAAATGATATGTCTTTGAGCTGACTTTGTTGATGTCCTCTGGGTAGCAGGCAGGGCCTGCCTCTTGGGCAGACAACCAGCGCCCTCACACAGGGCCTTACCCTTGGAGTTTAACTCTGCAGTGGCTATCTTGAAATTGTGACTAACATAATCTTTGACTCTGTTTTTGAAGGGAAGTCTTTTGGAACAACTAGCATGTACCAGGCTTGGCACGTGCCCCTCTGCCTCCCACCTGTGAGATCGGTTCTGGACCTTGCTTTCCCAGACTCCCCTCCCAACCCCCATCCCCATGGCAACCAATGTCCCTGGCTTCCCTCTGCCTCGGGAGAGGGAAGGGGACAGGGAGGGGGAGTTGGACCGGGTGCACATCCCACGCCCTGTAACTGCCCTGGGCTGGCAGGGCCATGGCGTGTTTGGAGAGTGACTGTACTGGGGCAAGTCTCTAACTACCCCGTCCAGGCAAGGAGTGTGCCCCCCGTGGAAGGTGGCAGTCTTCAGCTGGTTTGCTGTGGGTTGGGCTGTGACCAGTGCCTCAGGGATTGGTTTCCCCACGCCTGGCCAGGGCACAGCAGTGTGGGACCAGTATTTTAACAGGTGGGAGAACTCGACACCTGTGAGGTGGGTGCTCCTGTGCACACGTGGCTCCAAGAAGCACTGAAGGGTCCTCCTGCGTGTCTGCACTCACCTTTCAGGTTTTCCTATGCTCCCAAGAACATGGCATTAAATACTGCAACTTGAAAACAGGACCATTGTTTGAGAGAGAGGAGGCCAAAGAAAGGAACCGTTTTAATTCTGACTATCCTTAATGACATTTTACCCCTACCTTGGACCTCTCTGGCGGCTCAGACAGTCAAGGACCTGCCTGCAATGCAGGAGACTTGAGCTCGACACCTGGGTCAGGAAGATCCCCTGGAGAAGGGAATGGCTACCCACTCCAGTATCCTTGCCTGGAGAATCCCATGGACAGAGGACCCTGGTGGGCTACAGTGTATGGGGTCACAAAGAGTCGGACACAACTGAGTGACTAACACTTTCACTTTACCCCTCCCTTCGGGAGAAGCAGCTCCATGCTTTCATTTCACACTGAGCTCCACCAATTATATAGCTGGCCCTGATAACAGGTGTTCAAATGTTGACGTTTTCAAGTGATGCAGGCAAAGATTCTTTTGGCGGTCTACACATTGGGGTGCATTGACATTAACCCTGAGACCGCTGACTGACCTCCTGTGGCCTCATACCTCCTTTCCGGCCCATGCCAGTGGACCCCTCTGCCTCTTAATGCTTGGCCTTCATCACCTGCTACGTCACTCTCTTTGACAGGGTGCCATCCAGATGTACCAAACCCAGGTACTTTGCACAGCACCCACTACACCCAGAAGATGCTTAATGGTCCTTGACTTGACAAAGGATGCTAGAGGTGCACTTGGGCCTCAGAGCGCTGCTCCCTCCTTCAGGATACTCCAGGCAAGAAGCAGCCATCTGGGTTTCTGTTCACAAGGCATTCCCTCAACTCTACAGGCACAACTCAGGGATCCAAGACCTTTGTAAACACACTGGCATCTCCTCTGATTGCAGATCAGCACAGCCCACAGCTCAGCAAACAGCTAGCTTCTCAGGATGGCCTGTGGATGCCCCAGGTCTCTCTGTTGGCTCAGGAGTCCCTGCCAGTTGTCTTGGGGGAGGAAGGGAAATGCTACCACAATCTCTGCTACACTGATGCACAATTTGCCCTTCAGTTTCCAGTCTTTATATACTGTGACTGTGGGTGCTGCTCATGGAACCTGTTCAGGCCTTTTCGGTGAGTCCTACAGGGCAGTACCGAGCACCTCCTCCTGAGAACTGTGGCGTGTAACTGCACGATAGTATGAAGTTAAGCGCTGGGTGGGGGCTACTACTAAAGTAGTGGTTCACCACAGAGAAACTGTGCAGGGTCTAGAGACATTTTCAGCTGTCACAACTTCGTGTGGGTACCACTAGCATCTAAGGGGCAGAGGCTAAGGATGCTGCTACAATGCAGGTCATCTCCATACAAGAAAGAATTATTGGCCCCAAATGTCAGCAGTGCCCACGGTAAGAAAGCTTGCCTTTGGCTAATAACTTAGTCTCCTGGTACCTCCTTTTCCTCCCATGCAAAATGAGATAACTGTAGCATTCTTCTCGTAGATTTTTGTATGGATTAGTAAATTTGAGTATACAGTTTTTAAAAGTGCCTGGGAGATGGTATGTGCTCAACAATGGTAGATGTCTCCTGTTTTAGGGCTTTCGTTGAAATTTCAAGTAAAACTTTCATTAGGTATACGCCTATACATGTTATTTCATCACAGTTTATGCATTCATTTTTGGAAATATTCGTTATTGTTAGTTTTGACAAGCATAAGATAAGGGTATACGTTGTTCCCATTGGCTTGTCACTTGACCGTCAGAAACAGCTCTGGTCTCAATCATCTTAACAGAATGAAATAAGGACTTCCTTTGTGTCCCCTCTGGCTGTCTGGAGAGCAAAGATTTGCACAGGCCAGAGCACAGGTGAGCAGTCGATCCTCTGCCCACTGGTTCCAGACCTCCCTGCCCAAAAGTCCTGATGAGTCAAAAGGAGTGTGTTAGGCCGTAGTTACTCAAATAATTCCTTTTTGTTCTTTGCTTTTACAGCCGGTCTCAAGAATTTCCAGTATCCTTTTTAAATCAGGATTCTCTCTCCGGGAGCAACATGATACAAATTACAGTTGACTTGGTACAAAGCAACACAGCGTAGCAGAGCGCCCCAAAGAAAGCCATGGAGAACCTGGACCATTAACCAGCTCCTTAAACTTGGGCAGCTCACTTCCCTCTTCCCGGCCTCAGTCTCTCCATTAATTAAAGGAACAGGATTGTACTAGATCATGTCCTCCCAGATCCTGAGCCTCAGCCTCCACCAATCAAGAAAAGCCCTCAATTATTTCCTTTAATAGCAAAAAAAGACATCTACGGGCATGAACTCCGAACACCCCTCCGCACCTAGACACTAGGAGTGGCCCCTATCTCCGTCGGTTGGCCAGCCGGGAGGCCGGCTCAGGGCAGGATGGGCCGCTCCGAGCATGCGCGCACAGCGCCGCCCCGCCCCCGACCCGCGCCGCCCCGACCCGCCCCGGGCCCGCGCCGGCCCGCGCCGCCCCGCGCCGCCCCGCCCCCGGTCCGCGCCGCCGCTGTTCCGCTGGAGGCCTCGCGCAACTGGCTTGAATCCGGTGAGTGCATCCGTCCCGGCCTGGCGCCCGCCTCTAGGCTGTCTGGGGTGGTGCTCATTCTCCCGACGCCCAAGCGCGAGTGTGGGTGGAGCAAGATCCGGATGGGGGGGAACCACAGGACTCGGGCTGGGAGCGTTGGTGCACCCCGGCCCGGACCGGAAAGCGCTGGTGGTTGCTGGTCCCGGAACGCGCGCGGGCGCGCTCTCCGATCCCCGGCACGCGGGTTTGGCGCCGCTCAGATCCAGGGTTAGGGTCTGGAGGGGCCTAGGCACTGAGAGAAGCCACGTGCTTGGCCGGTGGTCTCGAGACTGGACGAGCACACGAAAGTTCGCAGGTTTCGCAGCGAGCGTGATGCCCGCTTTCGCCCTCGTGGCCGGCGGTCTGGGAGCGCGGCCACCACGTGGGCTGTGCTCCCAGGCGTGCCTAAGAGCCCCGCGCCTTACCGCAGGGAAACCTGAAGTTCGGGCAGAGACAGCTGCCTTTTTCTCGCCCCACCCTGACTTTAAAATGACAGCTTTCCCTCCCAGTCATTCTTTCGTCACTGAATATTTCTAGAACAGGTCCCCAACTGCTGTTGGGTCATCCATCGGGTTAATGAGATCAGGTTGGTGGTTCACTCTGTTTTCAGGAAGTGTTGGCTTGGGGATCACAGACTTAGCTATCTCCAGTGCGTGCCTGCGTGAGTGGTCAGTCATGTCCGACTCTTTGCGACCCCATAGGCTGAATCCACCAGGCTCCTCTGCCCATGGTTTCTGCAGGCAAGAATACTGGAGTAACCATTCCCTTCTCCAAGGTATCTTCCCAACCCAGGGATGGAACCTGGATCTCCTGCATTAGCAGGCAGACTCTTTACCACTGCACCATCTGGGAAGCCTCCTGACTACTCCAAAAATCAGCTGTCATTTCGGCGCCAGGCCTTTGATTTCACTGGGCTCATCTTTAAGTGGAAAAACCTGATTTATCAAGCTTCCACCATTGCTTGGATAGTTTTGGTCCTCAGCCCCCATCCATTGTAACAAGTCATGATTACTGAAATATATTAATGAGGTTCCATCCATTATTTCTAAGATAGAACTGAAATGATAAGTGCCAATCACTGCTTTAGGTCAATAGGAGAACTGCTTTTCCCTGTCTGTCTTGGTAAACATCCCTCCAGAGAAATCTTTTAGATTGGCCTAGGCAGCCTTGTTACAGATGATGATTTATCATTTCTGTCAGCTTATTTGAGTGTAATTAACTGAGCTTGAATTTGCCTGGATCTTCCGCTATGTTCAGTTCAGTTCAGTCGCTCAGTCGTGTCCGACTCTTTGCAACCCCATGAATCGCAGCTCGCCAGGCCTCCCTGTCCATCACCAACTCCCAGAGCTTACTCAAACTCATGTCCATCGAGTCGGTGATGCCATCCAGCCATCTCATCCTCTGTCGTCCCCTTCTCCTCCTGCCCCCAATCCCGCCCAGCATCAGGGTCTTTTCTGGTGATTCAACTCTTCGCATGAGGTGGCCAAAGTACTGGAGTTTCAGCTTCAGCATCAGTCCTTCCAATGAACACCCAGGACTGATCTCCTTCAGGATGGACTGGTTGGATCTGATTGCAGTCCAAGGGACTCTCAAGAGTCTTCTCCAACACCACAGTTCAAAAGCATCAAGTTTTCCGCGCTCAGTTTTCTTCATAGTCCAACTCTCACATCTATGTTAGTGGATCTAAAATTCCTGTGGATAACTTTTTAAAAAAAATTCATTGTTTTGTTTTGACTGAGTTACTGCAGGTTTCTGGGCCTTGGCTCCCAGAAATGCTAACTAAATAGACTTGATAAGGGGCCTATAAATTTGCATACTAACAAGCTTTCCTGGTGATTTGACTACAGTCTGTAAGACAGAGGATGAGATGGCTGGATGGCATCACCGACTCGATGGACATGAGTTTGAGTAAACTCCGGGAGTTGGTGATGGACAGGGAGGCCTGGCGTGCTGCGATTCATGGGGTCGCAGAGTCGGACACGACCGAGTGACTGAACTGAACTGTAAAACTCAGCCCTGGAGATTAAAAGACACACCTCCGTCTCCTGGTTGGTGCCTCTCAGCTCTGAGAGGACTGGAATACCCAAGCTTGAGCTGCCATCATAAGAATAATCCCCACTGAACAAACCATCTGTTTTCCCCAACTCTGTTTTATGTAAGGCTTTTGAGATTTTTTGCCTCCAAAATTGTATCCAAAAGGTGAAAAAGGTGAAAAAAATATGCACTCAGCAAGTGTTTGAGGACCCCCTTATGTGCCCTGCTCTGTACTAGCTCTGGGAATGTGCAGATAGATGTCCTGCCTTAAGACTTCTGGTCAGTGACTATTACCATAGAAGAGAACGTTAGGGCACTTAAAAATATAAAGATTTTGTCTGTGTTTGCTGGCTGTAGAATGGGTATCAATATTGATTTTCTTGTGGAGTTTAATCCTTCTAATTGTTTAGATTAGTGGCTGTGTTTCATCTGTGGGCCGTTAGTAAAATATGAACCTTGAATCTTTTCTTTTGATTTAATATTTTTATACTTTAATGCTATGCTGCTGCTAAGTCGCTTCAGTTGTATCTGACCCTTTGCGTTCCCATGAAGTGTAGCCCACCATGCTCCTCTGTCCACGGGATTCTCCAGGCAAGAATACTGGAGTGGGTTGCCATGTCCCCCTCCAAGGGATCTTCACAACCCCAGGGATCGAACCTGCCTTGGCAGATGGGTTCCTTACCACTAGCGCCACCTGGGAAGCCTCTAATGCTATAGTCAACTCAAATTGGAAACAGATGCTTTTTAAATGCTGGCTTTTCTTTTTCTCTTGTAGCTTTATAAAAATATTTACTCTTAACTTCTGTTTGGGTGGTCTGTGAGGTTTAGAGGCAGGCTTCTGTTGGCTGTATTTTTCCCAAGTATTCTCTTGTTTAGTTCCTATATTTCTTTCAAGACACACCTTTTTTTTTTTTTAACTGTTTGCTCCTGAAATTGTGATAGAGCTTACTATTTTTGTGTGTTTAATGTGGTGGAGTATGTCATCTGTTCTCCTCTCGACCTCCCACAAGCTGTTAAAAAGAATGGTTGTCTTACAATATGGGTAATGTGAGAATCAGAGAAATAGGAAGTTTGTATTAGTAAGCCTAGTAACCTCTAAGCTAGGTTCCAATTAACTGAGCCTCAAATCATTTCAATATGAACACAGAGAAACAATAAATGATGTAAGTTTTGGCAGTAAAAGTAGTGAAATTCATATTCTAACAAAAGCATTTGTTATGCACTGTTGGGATTTATTTTGTTACTGATTGTGGATGGGAAAAATGCTTCAAGTGATCTTATATTTTGGCTGAAGTATTCTGCACACTTTGTTTCACCACACTTTCTAGTGAATATGCTTATACTGTGTTTGTATATTGTGCTTAAACAAAACAAACCTTTTGTTTACATCTTCTTGCTGCTTGCATTCCTTAAATAAATTTTAAAGTGACCAATTGTGAGGGATAAGAAATGTGTGGCTGAATATGACATTGCTTTTTCATTACTGAGTACCTTTAATGACGCAGACCTTCTGAGGCAGCCTAACAGTTTTTAACAATTAAATGTGAGCAGTATGTCAGGGGTCCCTGAACCATCCCCTGGGCCAGTGGTTTGCTAGGACTCACAGCTAATTTATTACAGCAAATGGAGACCAAGCGGCTGCAGCAGCTAGTCGTGACAGCACGTGTGAAATGCTGCCAGCCAGGGGAGCTCATTAGACGTTCAGTGTCTGGGGCTTTTACTGGGGGCTCATCATGTAGATACCTCTGCCTGGGCTATAATCACATATCATCACACTGTTTGTCCAAAGAGCGTAGTCACAGTGAGTCCTCTTTTCAGCTAGTGGTGTTAGGAACACTTCTGAAATCGAGGTTCCTAGCCCAGACATCTGCACATGCTGACTTTCAGGGGATAGTGCATACGTGCATGTTCAGTCGTGTCCAACTCTTCGGAACCCATGGACTGCGGCCTGCCAGGCTCCTCTGTCCATGGAATTTTCCAAGCAAGAATACTGTAGTGGGTTGCCATTCCCTCCTCCAGGGATCTTCCCAATCCAGGGATTGAACCTGGGTCTCGCACACTGCAGGCGGATTCTTTCCCACCGAGGCACCAGGGAAGTCCTCAACGGGTGGTAGGTAGCTCAGTTTTGCAAAAACAGTGCTCTTCACCCAGTCTGTTTTCACTTGTCCTTGTATTTCTGCCTCACTTCTGGGCTCCAAGTAGCAGCAGTACTTTGTCTTATCAAAGTTTTGATTCTTCAGTTGAGAAAGCAAACTGATCTGTTTAACTTAAAAAGAATAGGAAGTCCCCCCCCCCCACTGGAAAAAACGCTTAAGCCCTTACTCTTCCATGCAAGCTTTTAGTATCAATTTGTATTGTAAACACTTGGTCCTGTGTTTCCTATCAAAACCACTTGATCTTTTGAAGGAACTGTTTGTGGGCACAAAATTTAGAAGCTAAAATGAGGCCACTAGTGAGTTTTACACAGTAGTGCCTCCTTACCCACGGCTGATAATGTTTTAAGGTCCCCCAAAGATGCCTGAAACCATGGGTGGCAATGAAGTCTGTATGAACTGTGCATTTTCCCTGTTCACAGATAGCTATAATAAACTTTAACTTATGAATTAGGCACGGTAAGAGAGTATCCGAATTGCCAGCATCATTACTCGTGCACTTTGGGGCCATTATCAAGTAAAATGTGGGTCATGGGAGCACAAGCTTGATACTGAGGCAGTCGATCTGATCAGCAGGATGGCCACTAAGTGACTAATGGGTTCATACACTAGACAAAGGGATTAACTCTAAGTTTATTTTCTAGACTTATCCTGAATTTATCAATTATAAGTTTGTAGATTATTGTTGCAGTGTGTAACGTCTTCTGGTATGTACTTCCCAGACCAGACCATTAATTCTTCTCAGCCCACAGTGTAGCTGAAATATGGCTTAGTTATCATGACAGAAGAGCAGAAAATGCTTGATAGCCCAACAGCATAGGAAAGCATAACATTTATAAATAAATTACCAGTCTTTGGGAAAAACTTTTTTAATAAGCACAATGCTTCTTAATCTTTTTGGGGGGATGGGGGCTTTTTAAAGAATCTGGTAAAAGCAGTGGACCCTCTCCCCCAGAAATAAAGGTGCTTAAAATAGAGTTTTACTGTTTCAGGGAACTCCTATAGTTGAAGTGTTATTCTTGAAATCCAGATGAAGGGCCCCTGCGTGTAAATGTGACAACAGCTGTGGCTTGGTCTTGCCGTCGGAAGGTCGATCCTCTTGCTACTCAAGTGTGGTCTGTGACCCAGCATCACTACCTGTGGGCTTGCTGAAGATGCAGAATCTCAGTCCCGCCTGAGACCTGTGCTCCCCGGGGATGTGTGCGCACCTGGAGGGGGGAGGGCTGCGTTGGACATTAATGATGTTGCCATTTTAGTATGCCTTATTTTAGTTAAAAAGTTACAACTTTTTAAAAGCCGTGGGATATGACTGTCTTTACCCTTCTCTTTCAGTGTCTAATTTTTTGATTTATTTTTTAATGGGATGAAGTGGCAATTTTCAGGAGTGAGCGGAGGTTTGAAGTGAGGCAGTCCAGGTGCTTGATTTGAAGACTTGGGAGCGGGCAGTGCCTCGCTCTCGCCAGCAGGTGGCGCCACTGGCCCAGGTGGCCCGCGGGACAGCGGCCAAGGGCGGGGCGGTGGCTAGGAGCGCTTGGCTGTGGGCGGCTCTTGATTGAGTCAAGTGTTTATGACTCGGTTGCATCTAATTAGATTTGGGACCTGGTGCTGATTAAAGCCAAATTTTAACATTGACTTTGCTGTGTCAATGGCCACAGGCCAAAACCGTGACTAGAAACTGCTGAGATAGTTGCATCATTTAACTTGGGCTAATTATGCCTCAATAAGGAATGAATTCCATGACTTAGTGCTTGGGTGCAAGGAAGCAGGCTTCCCTTTCTCTGTGCTCTGCGTGGTGTCTGAGGCCGAATCATACCCTGGAAGAAATGGTCTTGGCTTCAGGTTGTATGTTGATCCTGGAGGAAGCGGCCTTGAGTTAGGAGGAATGCACACGAAGGGCCTGCGAGTCCTGCCGGTCGCGTGTACGTGGTCCTCTGACACTGGCCCCAGGAAAACCTAAACACATGGGTCTTGTTCTGACAGGTTTGCATTTCCTCACTGCCTTGTCTTGAAGACAGCGATGCCGAAGAAAGCAAGGCCTGCAGGGGATGGGGAGGAAGAAGGGCCTGTTCCTAGGCAGGCGAAGGTGGAGGCAGCCTGTGGCTCTTCTTCCCCTTTGGACTTCGACAGCCCCAGTGGCCTCTTTGAAAGTTTCATCGCGCCCATCAAGACAGAGACGTTTTTCAAGGAATTTTGGGAGCAGAAACCCCTCCTCATCCAGAGAGACGACCCTGCGTTGGCCACGTACTACCAGTCCCTGTTCAGGCTCTCTGATCTGAAGAGTCTGTGCAGCCAGGGGATGTACTACGGGAGAGACGTGAACGTCTGCCGCTGTGTCCACGGGAAGAAGAAGGTTTTAAATAAAGATGGCAGAGTGCACTTTCTCCAGCTGAGAAAAGATTTTGATCAGAAAAGGGCCACAATTCAGTTTCACCAACCTCAGAGATTTAAGGTAACAGGCTCTCCCAGGGGCAGAGTCCTCGTGTGTATAAAAGTACTAACATTTGGCCACGGATCAGCTCAGGGGTAAATCCGTTTTGGTGATGATTAGTCTCCTGCCAGTTTCACAAGGGCCAACACCTGTTTGGTCTTCAAATGCATTCCAACTTCAGTGATTTTTTTTTTTTAATGTTCCCTTTTGGTTGAAAGGTTAGAATCGGCAACAGCTCAGGGTGGACACGGTTCGCTGTCATTGAGCTGCAAAAAGTAAATTATATTGCAGGTTTATAAAGTTTGTTAAAGTGACATTACACCTCCAGGAGTATTTCTGTGGGCTGGGTTTTGTTTTGATCCATAGTGGACATTTCTTTTTGGATTGTTTCCTCACCGTAATGTAAGGCATGATAGCATCAAGGTGATCATTTTATTCTTGAAGTTGCCTTCCTCTGCTGCCCACATCTTGTTAGCAGAGGCTTCCAAGCAGTGACCAGACCATGTACTAGATGCACATTTATGGAAGAGACTTCACCCTTGTTGACAGCCCCACCAGGCTGGCTCTGAGAGTAGGTCCTGGAACTCCTGAGATGGGTGGGGGTTAGTTGTGGAAGGTAGCTTGGATTTCACTACTGACTAACCTTTTATTTATTCTTTATCAGTGATTGACATTTGAGAAATAATCTGCTTCTGTGCCCAGTCTCTGCGTTTATAAAACGTGGATTTAGGATGAGCTAATCTGCTCTCTTAGTTGTTCAGTCGCTAAGTTGTGTGTCTGACTCTTTGTTGTTGCGACCCATGGACTACAGCACTCCAGGCTTCCCTGTCCTTCACTATGTCCTAGAGTTTGCTCAAACTCATGTCTGTTGAGTCGATGATGCCGTCCAATCATCTCATCCGCTGTTGCTCCCTCTCCTCCTGCCTTCAGTCTTTCCCAGCATCAGGGTCTTTTCTAATGAGTCAGCTCTTCCCATCAGGTGGCCCAAAGTATTGGAGCTTCAGCTTCAGCATCAGTCCTTCCAATGAATATTCAGGGTTGATTTCCTTTAGGATTGACTGGGTTGATCTCCTTGCAGTCCAAGGGACTCTCAGCATTCTTCTCCAGCACCATAATTTGAAAGCATCTCTTAGATGTTTGAGATTTTTACAGGACAGCTGTGCAACAATTGAAGGCCCTTTCTGAGTTTTAGAAAAAAAGTCTTATCCCCATCCAGAAATCCCCCCCTGTAACCCTTAGCTGAGTCAGAATGCCAGCTTTGAGGAGCGGGAGAGCAGCGTGTCCGGTCCCACACTGAGGTGGCTTCTGGCTGCGTGGGAGCTCCTTGGACTCTGTCATCAGAGCTCTAGTAACGCTTGTCATTATAGATCTTGAGGTGCCTTATTAGATCCACTAGGCCTCCCTCATCTGCGAATGCCTTTCCCTTGTCTGTAGGATTTTGTACTGTTTATACTCTGGATAAAGTACAAGTACTCTTAGACTTTTCAGTACAGGTCCTCATTCCAGATGGTCCATCTTGGGCAGTCATGAGCAGCTGAAATGTCCCTGGGATGCCACCCTTTTGGGCATTCTACCTGAAAGGAATTTATAAATCGCTTGCAGACCAAGTCATGATTTGCATTCAGAAAATCTGTACATTGTGGTACTTCCCTCTGAGCTAGTCCTTGACTCTTTGCTTGGCTAGAAGTAGCACTTAAAAAAAAAAAAGTAGTTTTTAGATACTGAAGAACTATGAATAGAAAAGATCAGTGATGCTGATTACATGTAATTTGTTCGCAGACCAGTAGAAAATTATTGTTTGGCGTGTACGTGGCGTCCTCTGTGGCTGTCATTTTCTGCTTGAGCGCTGCACACTTCTCTTCAACAGTTTCAAGTGGCCAGGACTATTTCCTTTGCCCTGTTGACTCAGCTCTTTAAGTCATGTTTCTTAAAGCGGGAAGGATGAGCTCTCCCAGTTTCAGCTCAGCCCCCAGGCTAGGCTAGGAGGCATCCTGATTATTTGTGGGGTGTTTTTTTTTAATTATTAACTTTATTTTTGGCTCCGCTGGTTCTGTGTGGCGATGCAGGCTTTTGTCTCGCTGCAGTGGGTGGCGGCTTCTCTTTCTTGCAGCGCGAGGGCTTCTCATTGTGGCGGCTTCTCTTGTTGTAGAACATGGGTCCTAGGGCACATAGGCTTCAGCAGTTGTGGCTCCAGGCCCCAGGGCACAGGCTAGTGGCTATGATGCCCAAGCTTAGTCGCTCTGCGGCACATGGGACCTCCCTGGATCAGGGATGGAACCCATGTCTCCTGCATTGGCAGGCAGATTCTTTACTTCTGAGCTACCAGGGAAGCCCCGTTTGTGAGTTTTTTTTTCCCCTCTGACCTTCCACCACCAGAACTTGAGAAATCTATAAACTGCTGGAGTTCACTCTACACAGGAAGCTGGGTTCTGAGTGTTAAAATGTGAGCAGATTTAGTGTTGTGTGTGTTTACTAATGGACATACTGATGTCAGGATAGAGAAGCCTAGAGGCAGTTCCTCATTGTCTGGGGTGAAGGACTCGGAGTCAGCACTTTCTAGGTCATGCCACAGAATGGGCACAGCTTATGAGTCTAGTTAGTTTGGAAATGAGTGAAGCAGTAACCAGAGAATCCCCACCTGCTTTGGGTCATCTGTGTATCAGGAGTCCAGATGAGTTAACCAAACATTTACACATGTTCAGTTTTGAATCTTCCAACACACATTTGAAATAACTGAGGCCATCACTGTGGTCTCCACTTTACATGAAAGAAACGAGTTCACAGTTGTGACTTACACAGCTACGAAGGAAGGACTTCTAACTGCAGAATTAAAACCTGTTCCGAACCATGTATCTAAAGATCCTCCCTGAAATGGAGCTGGGCTTTTGGCATGCTTGTTTTCGCCTTTCTTTAGGTGTTAATGTGGGCTTCTGGTCTTGACCACTGTATCCAGCTGGTTCTGCAGGAAGGTCGGCGCAGAGGAGAGGGCCTCCCCCGCTCGCTTTGCCGTGGTTCTGGGGTCCCCCTTGGGCAGCTCCAGACACAGCTGGGGGACCGGGGTCAGAGGAGGTAGGTTTCAGGAGCCTTGTTTGTGCCTAAGTCAGCGCTGTGACGCTGTGACACTCATACACTGTTGTACAGTTGAAACAGAATTTGAGATAGTTTTACGCTGTTTCCACAGTCTTCAAGCGGGAGTCCTCCTTTCACGGATGAAGAAGTTGAAGTCATCTAGCTTGTAACTACAACCTGAACTGAGACGGGCTGACTCCAGATCTCTTTCTAGTGGGCCACACTTGGCAGATTGAGAATCTAAAAGTGAAGTGAAAAACTTGTACAAATGATAGGGTTTTCTGTAACCTTTAAGAAGCAGGAGACATGTGCTTCTTAATTGTAGACCCAGAAACTTCAGCTAGGAGCCATAAAGACACCCATATGGGACTCAGGCCATCAGCGATAGATGCAGAGAGAGCCAGTTACTGTACCAATGTGATTACACATCCTGCTGGCCGCTCCCAGGTGAACATTAGATTGCTTGGGAGAGCTACGAACTCTTTGGAGCTCTTCAGGTGCCATTGAATTATTCTTCTTGTGTTAAACAGAAACCTTGAGCTCTATATGTAGAGTAGCTCAATGGCTTATATGGAAATGTCTCCCAAAGCTTGTTTAATGCTGACCCAGTTCTTTCCCACTTGGTATTTTTAATTTTTTTTTTTTCATTCCAATAGGTAAGATTGACTTCTAATCCGTGGCCATTGTTTACTCAGCAAATCCTTTCAATGTCTTCTGTGTGCCAGGCACTGCATGTGTGGATGCTTAAAAGTTGGGCTTCTGCGGTGTTCTTTGCAGGCGATTTTTCTTTACAGTAGCGTCGTGGTTATGGGGGTGGGCTCCTTAGCCAGACTGCATGAACGTGAACCCTGGATCCACCGTTGGCACGCCTCTTTCCTCGTCGGCGTGGATGGGCACCCACAGGGTGATGGTACCCACCCCGAGGGAGGGTTGCTGGAGGGCCGTGTCACTGAAGTAGGTGAAGCCTGGCGCACAGAAAGTGCGGATCCCCACGCGGCCTGGCTCTGCCTCTCTTCCCCCCTGCCTGGGACAATTAGGTTTCCTTCCCGCAGGAGTATGTGGCTCCTGGCTGGGTCCCTCAGCCTGACGGGGGTCCTGGAGAGCTAGTTAGTGACCGGAGAGAGGGGAGTGTTCCTCGCCCCCCGCCCGCTGCCTGTCCCCCTTCCCAGCTGGTCATTTCGGCCCCCTTTGCTCTCAGGACCCTTTGGTCAGGCAGTTCCCAGACCCACAGCCTTCATCTTGCCTGAACTTCAGACCTAGCCAGCCGGCACACGGGGGTCTTAGCAGCTCACATGTAGCATTTCTAATGTACAGCTTTTCTTTTGCCCCTCGAACTCATTCTTTAGCAGATCTTTGCCACTTGAGTGGTGCTGGGAGCCAACTGCCTTCGTCAGAACCCCCAGAGTATCTCCCTCTCAGCCTGCCCACTCCCAGGCCGCTGCCATCAGGGCGTGCTGCAGGGCTGCCCGCCAGGCACACCCTGACTTTCACTCTTCTCCCTCGCCGTCTCCCGCACTCCGATCATCCCCGCCTGCGCTGTTGCGTCTGTCGCTTCCCCACCTCTGCCCCTTGCTTTTTCCCACAGTCCGGTCTCCTTCACGCCGTAGCCAGGCGGCCCTTTTGTAAGTGTGAATGGGGTCGTGTCGTCGTCTGGCTTGAAATCCTTTGTGGCTCCCTGTCACCTCCGCCTGTCCGTGCTCGGGACAGAAGGTCCCTGAGGGCAGAGGTGCGGCTCGGGGACCGCTGAAGTCCCAGCATCTGGGCTTCCAGGTGGCGCTAGCGGTAAAGACCCCGCCTGCCAATGGCAACCCACGCCAGTCCTCTCGCCTGGAGAATCCCACGGACGGAGGAGCCTGGGGGGCTGCGGTCCATGGGGTCGCGAAGAGTCAGACACGATGGAGCGGCTTCACTTTCACTTTTCACTTGCATGCATTGGAGGAGGAAACGGCAGCCCACTCCAGTGTTCTTGCCTGGGGAATCCCGGGGACGGCGGAGCCTGGTGGGCTGCCGTCTGTGGGGTCGCACAGAGTCGGACACGACTGAAGCGACTCAGCACAGAGCATAATAGCTGTGCAATAAAACTTGCTGAGCGGATAGGAACAGGCTCCTTCCTCCTGACGTATTTTCCTCTCCTCCCCCCTCCGCTGTGGCTTCCTAAGGACGAGCTCTGGAGGATCCAGGAGAAGTTGGAGTGCTTCTTCGGCTCCTTGGTTGGCTCCAACGTGTATATCACCCCGGCGGGAGCCCAGGGCCTGCCGCCCCACTACGATGACGTCGAGGTGAGAGCGGGGATCTGCCCGGCCGCGGGACGAGGGAGTGGCCGCCAGCCCGGCAAGGTGGGGTTGTCGGGAGTTGAGCGCTCGGTCCATCAGGTCCGGGCCCACTCTTCCTGTGTGGGCTCCAGAGAGCTTGACCTCCCTCACCGGGATGTTGGACCAAAATTAACCCCACTGAACTGGTTTCCTGCTCCTTTGGAAAGGGGAGAGATGGTTTATTTACAAATATAAAGAGCTGCACATTCCTCTGAAACATGTATTAATTGAATTTTCTACAGAGACGTGTGATTGGATTTTTTTTTTCTTTTAATTTCACAGTTTAATAAGGTGAGGTCACAAGTGTTCCGTACATCTGCTTTTATTTTGTCCTTTTTCTGTAGCTGCCAAAAATATATGCTTTTTTCCATTTGTGAAAATCTTGGGGCCGCTTAAATGAAGGTCATGGTTTCGCTTAAGCACTGGCGCCTTGACGGATGTTGATTTCACTCTGTGTTGCTGCCAAGAAAAGTTAACTCTTGGGCTTAGGTATGTCGTAGTTTTATTTTTGTACTGATGCATTCTGTGAACACAGAGGTAGTAGGAAATAAAAACCTCTTTTTCCTCTTGAGAGCAATTTGATATCAATCCATTTTCCAAAAGTTTTTTTTTTTTCTTTAATATTTCTGACAGGAGTTTAAAACATCTTTGGTTGAATGAAGAATAAAAACTTGACATTTTCCTATGTGCCAGGGATTATCTTCAGGGTTTTGGACACTCGGTAATATCTGAAGCTTGGCTTTTCCCTCAGAGATTATGGGCTTCCCGCTGTCTGATGGAAGATTTAGAGGCATGAATAGTGGGATAGATCATGGGATATAAAGAACTCAGCGAGGCTTTTAGGGAAGTGAAAGGAATGACCAGACTTCCAGTGTCAGGGTTCACGGTCACCTGTTTTTAAAAAGTGAATGCCAGTGGTGGCAGCTTTTAAGTGTGGAGCGAGATGTATCTGTGACCCTTTACTTTTATTGTTTTATATCAGAGCTGTGATTTGGTTGAGCCCTGGGAGGGCCAGCACCCCAGAAGCCTCGTGAGCAGTGTGGGGGCTCTCTGACACTCCGGGGTCCTGTGTTCCCTGTAGGTGTTCGTCCTGCAGCTGGAGGGAGAGAAACGCTGGCGTCTGTACCAGCCGACGGTGCCTCTGGCGCGGGAGTACAGCCTGGAGGCCGAGGACAGGATCGGGAGGCCCACACACGAGTTCACCCTCAAGGTACGGGCCTGCCAGTGTGCGCGCCAAGCTGGGTTTGAGGTTTGCGTTTGTGTAACGGTCCCCCGAGAATGTCCAGGAGTTTGGGGGCTCCTATTCCAGGTGGCCCCTCGGGGGGGCATTGGAAGGAGACCTGGTAGTTTATACTTGCAGATGTGAGCTGAGGAAACGTCTCCATGTGCTGAGTCCAAAAGGAATGAATTATGAATATGGTAACCACTGAGTTTTCTGGAGTGAAAGTGGAAGGCATGGCCTTGGGCAGCTTCTCCAGATCTAAGGCAGTGGTCACCGCTGGGTGGTAGGTTGCTTGAGGAGAGCACGGTCAGCGACCCCTCAGTTTTTCTTGCTGGTAAAATTCGGGCGCCCCCTTTTCCTCCTGACTGCAGTAGACCCTTTGCACCCCTTTCCTCCTGCATGTAGTGGTCAGAAGGGTCATCATGAAGGCTCTTGAGGGGACCTTCCCCAGATAACCAGGCGGCCCGAGCATGTGCTGGTTCGCTGGCATCTTGCTGCTGAGAAAGTGTGTCCTTGAGCAGTTAGCTGGGTGGGATCACAGCCAGTCCCCGGCAGGTCAGGGTGTTGAGAGCAAAGTCTAGGATAAGAATAGCAAAGTCTAGGATAACTGTGTAACTCAGTGTTACAACTTTTCCTACAAAACTTAATTTCAACAAGATTTAATTTCCTTCAGTGGTAATAAGATAATAGTTAATCTAAATCATTCCAAAGATTTTAACCAAACTGATGGACTTGCATATGGTTGTTTTTGTAGTTCTTACATCTTGAATTTACACTTGGTATCTAATTCTTTTTTTTTTCTTTTTAAATTATTTACTTTTGGCTGCACTGGGTCTTCCACCTTGAGCTTCGTGCAGCCCGGCATTTTGCATGATGTACTCTGCATATGTGTTAAATAAGCAGAGTGACAATATATATATAGCCTTGACACAGGGGTTGAAACCATGTCCCCTGCATTGGCAGGCAAATTCTTAGCCATTTTGCCACCAGGGAAGCCCCTCTGATTCTTATTCAGTGCCTTCTGGCTTCTTGATTTTAAAATCTCTGCCTGCCTGCCGTAACTGGGAAAAACTCCCTGTTTATGATGATGTCGTTCAGCCGGTCAGTCTTGTCTGATTCTTTGTGGCTCCATGAACTGCAGCATACCAGGCTTGCATGACTCTCTCTTGAGTTTGCTCAAACTCGTGTCCACTGAGTCGGTGTTTCCATCCAACCATCTCATCCTCTCCTGCTCTGTCATCCCCTTCTCCTCTGTCTTCTATCTTTCCAGCATTAGGGTCTTTTCCAATGAGTCAGCTGTTCACCTCAGGTGGCCAAAGTATTGGAGCTTCAGCATCAGTCTTTCTAATGAATGTTCAGGGTTGATTTCCTTTAGGATGGACTGGTTGGGTCTCCTTGCAGTCCAAGGGACTCTGAAGAGTCTTCTCCAACACCACAGTTCAAAAGCATCAGTTCTTTGGCGCTCAGCTTTCTTTATGATCCAACTCTCATATCCGTACAAGACTATTGGAAAAACCACAGCTTTGAATATATGAACCTTTGTTGGCAAAGTGATGTCTCTGCTTTTTAATACGCTGTGTAGGTTGGTCATAGCTTTTCTTCCAAGGAGCAGGCGTCTTGTAATTTCATGACTGCAGTCATCATCGCAGTGATTTTGGAACCCAAGAAAATAAACTCTGTTACTGTTTCCATTGTTTCCCCATCTATTTGCCATGAAGTGATGGTACCGGATGCCAAGATCTCACTTTTTTGAATGTTGAGTTTTATTCCAGCTTTTTCACTCTTCTCTTTCACCTTCATCAAGAGGCTGTTTAGTTCATCTTCACTTTCTGCCGTAAGGGTGGTGTCATCTGCATATCTGAGGTTATTCCTATTTCTCCTGGCAATCTTCGATTCCAGCTTGAACCTCATCCAGCCTGACATTTCGCATGATGTATTCTGCATGTAAGTTAAATAAACCAAGTGACAATATATAGCCTTGACATACTCCTTTCCCAATTTTGAACCAGTTCATTATTCCATGTCCACTTCTAACTGTTGCTTATTGACCTGCATACAAGTTTCTTAGGAGGCAGGTAATGTCTGGTATTCCCATCTCTAAGAATTTTCCACAGCTTGTTATGATCCACACAGCCAAAGGCTTTAGTGTAGTGAATGAAGTAGAAGTAGATGTTTTTATAGAATTCCTTTGCTTTTTCTGTGATCCAGCGGATGTTGGCAATTTGATCTCTGGTTCCTCTGCCTTTTCTAAATCCACCTTGTCCATCTGGAAGTTCTCGGTTCATGTACTGCTGAAGCCTAATGTGAATGATTTTGACCATTGCCTTGTTAGCTTGTGAGATGAGTACAATTGTGTAGTAGTTTGAATATTCTTTGGCATTGCCTTTCTTTGGGATGGAAATGAAAGTTGACCTTTTCCAGTCCCATGGCCACTGCTGAGTTTTCCAAATTTGTGGGCATATTGAATGCAGCTCTTTCACAGCATCATCTTTTAGGACTTGAAATAGCTCAACTGGAATTCCATCACCTCCTCTAGCTTTGTTCGTAGTCATGTTTCCTAAAGCCCACTTCACACTCCAGAATGTCTGGCTCTAGGTGAGTGATTATACCATCGTGGTTATCCGGGTCATTAAGACCTTTTTTGAACAGTTTTTTCATTCTTGCCACCTCTTCTTAATATCTTTTGCTTCTGTTAGGTCCATACCATTTCTGTGCTCTATTGTGCCCCTCTTGGCATGAAATGTTCCCTTGGTATCTCTAATTTTCTTGAAGAGATCTCTAATCTTTCCCTTACTATTGTTTTCTTCTATTTCTGCATTGATTGCTGAGGAAGGCTTTCTTATCTTTCCTTGCTATTCTTTGGAACTCTGCATTCAGATGGGTATATCTTTCCCTTTCTCCTTTGCCTTTCGCTTCTCTTTTCTCAGCTGTTTGTAAGGCCTCCTCAGACAACCATTTTGCCTTTTTGCATTTATTTTTCTTGGGGATGGTTTTGATCACTGGCTCCTGTACAATATTACAAACTTTTGTCCATAGTTCTTCAGGCATTCTGTCCTTTCAGGTATGACCTAAATCTAATCCCTTGAATCTATTTGTCAGTATAATCATAGGGAATTTTATTTAGGTCATACCTGAATGACCTAGTGGTTTTCCCTACTTTCTTCAATTTAAGTCTGAAGTTTGCAATAAGGAGTTCATGATCTGAGTCAAGTTAGCTCCAGGTCTTGTTTTTGCTGACTGTATAGAGCTTCTCCATCTTTGGTTGCAAAGAATATAATCAATCTGATTTCAGTATTAACTACCTGGTGAAGTCTATGTGTTGACTCATCTCTTGTTTTGCTGGAAGAGGGTGTTTACTATGACCAGTGCATTCTCTTGGCAAAACTCTGTCAGCCTTTGCCCTGCTTCATTTTGTACTCCAAGACCAGACTTGCCTGTTACTCCAGGTATCTCTTGACTTCCTACTTTTGCATTCCAGTCCTCTGACGAAAAGGACATCTTTTTTTGGTGTTAGTTCTATAAGGTCTTGTAGGTCTTCATAGGAACATTCAACTTCAGCTTCTTCAGCATTAGTGGTTGGGGCAAGACTTGTATTACTGTAACACTGAATATGGTTTGCCTTGCAAACCATTTCTGTCGTTTTTGAGATGACACCAAAATACTGCATTTCAGACTCTCTTGTTGACTGTGACGGCTATTCCATTTCTTCTAAGTCATTCTTGCTCACAGTAGTAGATATAATGGTCATCTGAATTAAATTCACCTATTCCTGTCCATTTTATTTCACTGATTCCTAAAATACCGATGTTCACTCTTGCCATATCCTGTTTAACCACATCCAGTATCCCTTGATTCATGGACCTAACATTCCAGGTTCCTATGTAATATTGTTCTTTACAGCCTCAGACTTTACTTTCACTGCCAGACACATCCCCTACTGGGTATCCTTTCTGCTTTGGCTCAGTCTCATCATTCCTTCTGGAGCTATTTCTCCACTCTTCTACAGTAGCATATTGGGCACCTACCGACCTGGGGAATTCATCTTTCAGTGTTGTATCTTTTTGCCCTTTTCATACTGTTCATGGGGGTCTCAAGGCAAAAATACTGAAGTGGTTTGCCATTCCCTTCTCCAGAGGATGTTTTGTCAGAACTCTCCACCATGATCTGTCCATCTTGCATGGTCCTACACAGCATGGCTCATAGTTTCATTGAGTTAGACAAGGCTGAGATCCATGTGATCAGTTTGGTTAGTTTTCTGTGATTGTGGTTTTCATTCTGTCTGCCTTCTGATGGATGAGGATTAGAGGCTTGTGGAAGCTTCCTGATGGGAGGGACTGGCTGTGGGGGAATCTGGGTCTTGCTCTGGTAGGTGGGGCCATGCTCAGTGAATCTTTAATCCAGTTTTCTGTCAATGGGCAGGGCTGTGTTCCCTCCCTATAGTTTGGCCTGAGGGCAACCTGTAGTAGGGTAATGGCAGTAATGGCAACCTCCTCCAAAAGGATTTCAGTTTAGTTTAGTCACTCAGTTGTGTCCCACTCTTTGTGACCCCATGGACTGCAGCACACCAGGCTACCCTGTCCATCACCTTCTCCCGGAGCTTACTCAAACTCATGTCCATTGAGTGATGGACCTGTTGGTGATGCCATCCAACCATCTCATCCTCTTTCATCCCCTTCTCCTCCCGCCTTCAGTCTTTCCCAGAATCAGGATCTTTTCCAGTGAGTCACTTCTTGGCATCAGGTGGCCAAAGTATTGTAGCTTCAGCATCAGTCATTTCAATGAATATTCAGGACTGATTTCCTTTAGGATTGACTGGTTGGATCTCCTTGCAGTGCAAGGGACTCTCAAGAGTCTTCTCCAACACCACAGTTCAGAAGCATCAATTCTTTGGTGTTCAGCTTTCTTTATAGTCCAACTCTCACCTCCATACATGACTACTGGAAAAACCATAGCCTTGACTAGATGGGCCTTTGTTGACAAAGTAATGT